CTCCCCAGCACACCTGCTGGAGACAGATCTAAAAATGTGATCTGATTACACCAATTTGAGTGTAAAACCTTACTCTGCGTATAGGATCGCCTATAGGAAAAGTGCAAGCTCATTAATCAGACAGCTGCGGTCCTTTGGGGCTAGCCCCTGCCTCTCTCAGCAGCATTGCTTCCCTCCACGTGATGACCAACTTTGTGCTCCACAACATGGCTGTGCTCACAGACTCCCTGTATAAATAATGCAAGTTTTTATTTCTGTCTTTGTCCAAGGTAGTCCACGTTCCTGGTTTGCCCTGCTCTTGGCTCACTGAATTGTTATTTCTTTTTGATTGAAGGATAGTTGATGCAAAATGTTACATTGGTTTCAGGTATACATTGGTTTGACAAATTCTTACCCCTCATTTGAAAGTTATGAGTTATGACTAAAGAAAAAGACTGACAACATACAAAAATTAAAAGAGCGAAATATATTATTAGCAAAGCTAAGATAGAGTGGAAGTTATATTTGCAACATATGTAACAAATTAATAGCCATAATTTATAAAGATCTCTCTAAAAATCTCTTAAAATGACCAAACATAAAAGTGGACAAAGGATATCAATAGATAATTAACAGCTGTAAAAATGCAAATGTTTAGAACCCTTCAAAAAAAGTGCCCAGACTTTGTCTAATAGACCACAAAGAAATGCAAATTAAAATGAGAGTCCATTGTTTTTGTTGTTGTTTGGTTTGGCATTTTTTTGGGAGAGGGTGTTTGTTTTTTGTTCTTTTGCTTATCAGTTTGGCAAACACTAAAATACTGATAATATTAAGTTAACATGAGAGCACTGTTGGGGTGCCTGGCTGGCTCAGGTGGTTGAGTGCCAACTCTTGATTTCAGCTCAGGTCATGATCTCAGGGTGGTGGGATGAATCCCCTGGGCAGGCTCTGCACTTGAGGGGACTCTGCCTGAGTTTCTCTCTCCCTCTCCTGCCCCCCTCACAACCCTGCTAAAGCACCCTCTCCATGTTCATGCTCTCTTTTGCTCTAAAAATAAATACATAAATCTTAAAAAAAAGGGGGGGGGGGAGCACTGTTATACACCTGTTTGGAAGGCAGTTTGGCAGTGAAGATTTAAATGACTCAGCAGTTCCAGTTCTAGAATTCCCTATCTGTATGCTCCCACCCCAAATAGGTACAAAGAATGTAAGAACAAATGTCCAAGGGTATTCATTACATCATTGTTTGGTGACATCTAGATGCCTGTCTACAGAAGAAAGGTTATACTGTGGAATAACCATCAAAAAGAATAAGGTAGAACTATGTGTCCTGACGTGAAAATAAATACATTGTTATCAATAGGTGTATGAGTTACCTATTTCTATATAACAAGCACCCCAAAACATAGCAGCTTAAAATAACATACATTTATTTTAGAGTTTCCATAGGTCAGGAACCCAAGGGTGACTTAGCTGAGTGGTTCTGGCTCCGGTTTTGTCATGAACAGCACAGGGAAGCTGTCACCTGGGCTGTAGGTATCCAAAGCTCCACTGGGGCTAAAGGATCAGCTTCCAAAGTCATTCATTCACATGGTTGTTAGCAGGCGCCCACCATGTGGGACCCTACACAGGTTGCCTGAGTGTCTCTATAATATGGCATCTGGCTTCCTCCAGGTTGAGCTGACAAAGTTCAAGATGGAAGCTTCAGTCTTTTATAAACTAATCTCAGTGAGCGATGCCATCACTTCTGCTGTCTTATTGGTCACACAGACCAGCCCTGGTGCAACGTAGGAGGGATTGACCAAAGGTGTGACTACGAGGAAGCGGGGATCTTGGAGGCTAACCCGCCATGATATGCTTTTTTAAGATAGTAAATTATACACAAATAGGTAGATGTCCTAATTTTATCATTTTTTTAAAAGGGGGATTATTATGTATACATAGATATGTAAGAAGAACTTAAAGGTTTGCACCAGGAGCCAGCTCTGTGTAGTGATGTTGGTGTGTGGTTGGGGTTGAGGGATCTTGAAGTTAGCATGTTCAGTTACTGTTCTAAAGTTTGTTTCTTTTTACATACTATAATAAGAATGGGTTATGTTTGCAATTAAAAATAATGAAATAAGACCATATTTCCTTCTCCAGGATGTCTTGAGAAAGCTGATTTTATTGTCCTCTTTGTTGCTCCCCTGTTTCTGACAGGAGGCCCCACTGTGGCATAAGCATCATTGTGTTGCACACTAAGAACTGAGATGAGTGCTCACCTTTGAATTCTCCATGGCTAACCACCTGCCTGGCCCCAAATACTCACTCTGTATGTTTGCCAAATGAATGAACTAAAGGATTTACTTAATGCCATCAATATGTATTAAGTAGCTCCAAAGATAATGGAGCTTGATACCAGTAGGTCAAATAGCTTTTTGACCTTCAGATCTACATTCTTGTTCAACTAACCTTGCTAAACATAGTATTCTTGTTTTTCCCATTTTTCTTTAGGAGCTTATCTAGTAATTGGTGTGGGAGATGGTACTAATTTTTTTAAATGAAAGCCCTAATGGAAAAGAATTATATGCAATAAAGTGGAGAAAATTGTTTCATGCCAATGTAGGTTTCCAGTATTAAGCTAAATTTTCTTGCCTAAATGAGAAGGGTAAGATAGCTGAATCAGCCCCAAATCTTTTACCTAATGTTAGGATCACAAATGGAAGCAATTATAATTGCTGGCAGAAATGAATCATTCCAAAACTAGGTCTGTGCAGACAGTTCTTTATTGTGTTCACTTAAGGTGGCTTTTATTCGAATGGTCCCCAGAAGCAGAGATCTGTTATTTGCAGATTTCTTTGAAAAGTTAATCTTCAAGTTTCTTAAAAATCTGAGTATACTTTGTTTATATGCTTATACTACACACATACATGTAACGTTACTTAAGACCCCATTTCCTAAAGAGAGAACATCACTTGAAAAAGAGTTCATGGACTCTTCCATGAACCAGCCAACAGTGTGTAACCATAGCTGTTAGCAACAAAAACAAAGAATTTCCCAGGGAACCAGAAGACCGGGTTTTGGTAAATTGCTTTCCAGTGTTATTCCTGGAAAGCTGACACACTGAGCCATTTGCAAACATTTTCTTGACTGTCCACCTGAGGGGGGCAGGGAGGTGGCCCTACTAGGCCGTGGGCCAGACTGGTTGAAACCTAGATCTCTCCCACCAACGTGATCTCCCAGCACATGCAAAGCTGGCCCTGAATAAGGACTGCAGTGGTGCTGCCAGTCCCTGGTGGAAATTATTTTTCTGCTCTGGTAAAAATAATCGCGGCTTCAGTATCCGGGCTGGAAGTGTCGAGGAGAAAACAAAACAATCACTAAAGAAACGGTTCGTGTATATTATTAGTTCTTGCAGCAGATAAGGGTTAGGAGGTTGGGATCCCCATGGGAGTGGGTGGCTAGGAAAAGTGAACGGAAAAGAGAGGTGGTGCGCAGCAATTTCAAGCTCTCTTCCTCGCTACCAAACCCTGGCCAAGTCCATAATTTTAAAGCAGCGCGAAAACTGAATGTGTCTGGCTTTTAGCTGCGACCTCGGCTGAGCGAACCCCTTTACTGAGTTGCCGCGTCCGGGCGTTACTTTCCAGGGAACGAAATTCAGACCGAAGGGTCACAGAAGCTTTGTGCACGCAGAAAATAAGGATTTCCTTTTTCTTTTAGACAGATGGAGGTAAATAGCTTTCAAGTCCTGCAGGGGCCCCGGGAGGTAAGAGGTTGGCTTTGCTCCCCAAAGCCGCCAACGACAGCCTGGCAGGCTGCGGTCAGTTCCCAAGGTTCCAGAGAAAGCTACACCTAGTCTCGGCGCGGTCTTGGCCGGGAGTTCCCGCCCACGCTACGCCCTCCCTCCCCCCTACTCCCGGCAACGCACCCCCCTGCACCTCCCAGCGTGGCCAGTCGCTCCCCGCCCACCCCTGGGGCACTGTCGCCCCCGCGATCCACCAGATCAGTGGAAGGTTCTCCCTCCAGAGACTTTAGCTTTTGCTTTTATGCTTATTTCACATTCTTACCCCACTTGGGACGTGTGAGCCAGGCTCCGCAGTCCGGCAGGACCACAGAGCCCCCACCCCCGAAACTCCCCCAGAGCCACGCGAGGCATCCCAGTTGCCTCCCTGAAAAGCGCACGGACTGGGGAGCGCGTTGCCCGCGACGGGAAGAGGCCAGCCTTGGCGTCCTAAAGCATGCGGGGGAGGCGTCCTGGGGCGGTGGGTTTCTCCAATATGAGGGCGCGGGCGCCCAAGCATCAGGGAGCCCCGCAGCCCTCTGGCACCGACTTTTCCCCCTCTCCGGGCCGGCAGCTGGACAAGGTCCCGCGGCTGTGCCAGTAGGGGCGGCGGACAGAAAAACCTCTGAAGCTCCAGAAGGGAGGGGCAAGGTTGGGGCCGAGGGTGCTGTCACTTGTTGCCGCTAATAAGCTCGACCCTGGAGCGCTGTTGTTTCCACAATCTTTAGCTGTGCCCCGGATTCCCCACCCCACTCTCCTGGGCTCGGAGCTGGAAGGAAGAGGCCGGCGCGAGCGGCTGACATTGCGGTGGGAGAGGGGAGGGCGCCCGGAGAGCCCGCCCGGATGGGCGCGGGGGTGCCGCTAGCTGCAGCTGCCCGGGCTTCCAGGTGCAGAGCGTCCGCCCTGACTAGGAAACCGCGCGGGACGCAACCCATCGCAGCTCGTCACATACTTACAAATCGCTGTCGCTAGGTTTCCCGCCACTCCTCTCAGACCAGTCCCCCCGCCCCGCCACTTTTCGGAGTCCCCCGCCTTCATCACTGCCTCCCGGGAGCTGCGGGGCAGTCGGACGCGGAGCCGCGGAGCCGCGAGGACGCCTGGCTGGAGGTGCCCTCTGCAGCGAGCCGGCGCCCCTTGCCCTTCGCCGCGGGTTTGGGCGGTCACCCCCGCCGCCCTCGCTCTGCCGCTCGCGGCTCTCTTCCCCGCTCTCCTCCCGCAGGTCCCCGAGCTCCGCCACCACCGGGTGCGGCGCGGCAGGCGCGATGCGGCATCTGTGCCGGGGCCGCGTGCTGGGCATCTCGGTGGCTATCGCGCATGGGGGCTTCTCGGGCTCCCTCAACATCTTGCTCAAGTTCCTCATCAGCCGCTACCAGTTCTCCTTCCTGACCCTGGTGCAGTGCCTGACCAGCTCCACGGCGGCGCTGAGCCTGGAGCTGCTGCGGCGCCTAGGGCTCATCGCCGTGCCCCCCTTCGGCCTGAGCCTGGCGCGCTCCTTCGCGGGGGTCGCAGTGCTCTCCACGCTGCAGTCCAGCCTCACGCTCTGGTCCCTACGCGGCCTCAGCCTGCCCATGTACGTGGTCTTCAAGCGCTGCCTGCCCCTGGTCACCATGCTCATCGGCGTTCTGGTGCTCAAGAACGGCGCGCCCTCGCCCGGGGTGCTCGCGGCCGTGCTCATCACCACCTGCGGCGCCGCCCTGGCAGGTGAGCGGGACCCGCGCCCACCCCCGGCCCACCCTACCCCACCCGACAGAGATGGCGGGGATCACTTAGTGCAAGGCCCTCACTTCCAGATGGAAGGCAGAGAAAGGCTTGAAAGAGGGTGCTCGGCTCGCTAACGGGACTTCTGAGACCATGCCGAACCTTTCCCAGCGCTCCTATCTCCCCCTTCAGAGCGCACCCCTTCCCCCAGTCCAGGCTTCCGACCCCCGCCCCTGCCTAAACCGGTATCGCCCTCTCCGCCTTCCCTTCCCTCCCTCCCCCAACCTCCCCTCTCCTCCACCCTGTCTCCCTTGATCCCTCCAGGAAGGGTGGGGGAGCCTCCAGAGCCTGGGAACTGGAGCCCCCAGGCTGAGTCGGAAGAAGAGGGGCCGTGAACTTCCCTGGGTCACGCGGAGCTGGAGTGGTGGGGGACGAGGGACAATGGAAACCAAGCCTGAGCCGCGGAGGCTAATTTGGGGGTCTCTGGAGCCGCGGGAGGTGCTGAGGGGGCGGATTGAGACCCACTTGGGGGCTGAGCTTGCAGGACTGAACCCAAAGGGAGCCAGCCGGCGGGAACGGGAGAAGGGTCGAGAGAGAGAGAGAGAGAGAGAGAGAGAAAGAGAGAAACACGTTCGCTCGGCGCCCAGCCCGCCCCGGGGTTAGAAGAGACTAGCTGGGGTTCCCTCTTCTTTCCGGAGCACCACGGAGAAGGCCAGAGTACCACGCGCCTGGGTGACCTCCATGCCTACCCCGGGGGCACTAGCGCTCTCCCGGGCCTTTCTCTTGGACAGAACTAGCCAGGGTGCCCCAGGATATGGCCCGGAAGGCGCCACCGATTATACCTGGAACTGGGCATTGGCCGAACTTGGCTCTTTTTATACGCATGGGCAGAGCTGGGACGCGAACCCTGTCTACTCCCCAACCCTACGCGTCGTCCCAGTAATACCCACCCTCGCCAACCCGGTGTCTTCTCTTTTTCCTTCCTGCCCTGGCTCCGCGGTTCTCCTGGGGCGCTCCAGGAGCCGGCGATCTGACCGGCGATCCCATCGGGTACGTCACGGGCGTGCTGGCAGTCCTGGTGCACGCCGCCTACCTGGTGCTCATTCAGAAGGCCAGCGCAGACACGGAGCACGGGCCGCTGACCGCTCAGTACGTCATCGCCGTGTCCGCCACCCCACTGCTGGTTGTCTGCTCCTTCGCCAGCACCGACTCTATCCACGCCTGGACCTTCCCTGGCTGGAAGGACCCGGCCATGGTCTGCATCTTCGTGGCCTGCATCTTGATCGGCTGCGCCATGAACTTCACCACGCTGCACTGCACCTACATCAACTCTGCGGTGACCACCAGCTTCGTGGGTGTGGTGAAGAGCATCGCCACCATCACAGTGGGCATGGTGGCCTTCAGCGATGTGGAGCCCACCTCTCTGTTCATTGCCGGCGTGGTGGTGAACACCCTGGGCTCCATCATTTACTGCGTGGCCAAATTCTTGGAGACCAGAAAGCAAAGCAACTACGAGGACCTAGAGTCGCAGCGTGGGGGAGAGGAGGCACAGCCAAGTGGAGATCAGCTGCCGTTCGTCATGGAGGAGCTGCCCGCGGAGGATGGAAATGGCGGGTCAGAAGGTGGCAAGGCAGCAGGTGGCTCCCCTCAGAAGAGTGGGCAAGAGGCAAGGGGCAGCCCCAGAGGAGGCCCGCTGGTGGCTAGGAGCTCACACAACACAGCCTCCCGCCCAGAGGAAGTGAGCAAGAGGTCACTGAAGGATGCTTACCTCCAAGTGTGGAGGTTAGTTAGGGGAACTAAGTACATGAAGAAGGATTATTTGATAGAAAATGAGGAGTTACCCAGTCCTTGAAAAGGAAATGCATGTATGTATATATGTACATACACTTATTTTGTATGTTAGAGATACCGTATTTTAATGAGGGGCTGCCTGATTTTATTCTTTGAGGAGTGGGGAAGGGAAGCAAAGAAGGAAGCTGTAACAGACTGACAGTAACAGCATAAGCACAGTGTGAATTATTTAGTGTGAGCTTACCTGAGGCATCACAGAGACAAAAGCATGTGAAGGTGCTTAATGAGGGAAAGCAGCGGTTCTGGCTGCAGACTTCTGGCACACGAATTGTATGTCTTTATAACCGTAACCAAATATCTGCATGTACTTAGAATTCCTCAGTCCACCCCTTCCAAAGATGGAGCATAGACAGGATGCCCGCACTTAAAAAGCTCAAAGAGGACCCAGGTACATCTTCAGTGATAGTAGAGCTACAGTTTTTATAGCCAGCTGAGCAAGAGTATATTATTGAAATAATATATATATATATATATATATGTCTATATACATCTGTATACATATAGACATCTATATACATCTGTATATAGACATATATATACACTGGATTGATGTTTACTGTTTGTAGTCATCTGAAATATGTTTGCTCTGATTTTTCTTCACTTAAAAAAATAAGTATTCTATTATTCTGTTGTATATTGGTAGAAAATGTTAAAGGTATTTTGAATATATGAGTTCTTAGCTTTAAAACCGAAGTTTAAAGCTGGTTTTTAGTAATTATAAAACTATTTTAAAGGTTGTTTGGGTTCATTGCTTCATAATATTTATTATTGAATGCCGTAACCTTTTGAAAAGCCAGTTTTACTGTGTCCAATATTCTTTCAAGCAAATGCAAAGGCTGAACAGTAATTCAGTATTAACTGAAGCCCAAACAGAAGTGAGTCCTTCCCGTTAAGCTAGCTCTTTCGAGTCACACTGCCCATCCCAAACCTGTTGCAAAAACAGCAACTGCTATATTCACTTTATGATATTTTTCTATCTTACATTTGTCAAAATAAAGTATGAGCCTCTCTGCTAAAAGACAAAGGGTTATAAATTTGTTTTAGCCACATTTGTGTTCTACTGTTGCTATGTAGGGGGCGACCCCATGGAGAAGTTCTTCAATTAACAGGGCAGTTTACTTTAAAACAACATCAACCACCACAAGGACAGTCTTATTTTCCAGTCAAGAAAACCATTATAAAGTAAAACAAAATACTGCCTCATGTGGCACAACGAGAGCCACCCACTGCTGACATCAGTGAACATGATGCCTGAGATGTAATAGAGAGTGCACCCAGAGGGAATCCTCCAGAGAGGTAACTTGAGACAAGGCACTTTTATTATTTGCCAGCATGTTCCTGAGACGCTCAGATGGTAGTATCCCATATTTTTCTTCATTTTTCAAAAAATGAAACAAAAGGCAGAGTCAAAAATGGAAGTTTCAGCTTCATCAGTTTGACTCCACAAGCCTGTGAGCAAGTGTGATGTGGCAACTTGTGATGGTGCTGGGTTACGGGTGGTCACAGGCATTTCCTCATTTCCACAGGTACCTCTCCAAGCCATTGGAGATGTAGGAGCCCTCATGTGTCTGTCGTTAAAAATGGCTGGCGAGGGTTATTACGACTTCCTTAAAAATAAGAATTAATGTTGACGCCCACATGCCAGGAGACCACAACCTGTTGCATCTCTGTGAAGCAGAGAATGAAAAGCAGCAAAGTTAAATAAAGGATATATATTTTTGTTAATACCATTGGCAGAGAAATGGAGAGCATGGTTGTTTTTCACTGAAAAAAAAAAATTCCTTTTAGGCCAGAAATGTGGGTTTGCATTTACTGAAAATAGGTGAACTCTTTCCTGTCTCTGTAGAGACATTATATCAGAGTTCTCCAGAGAAATAGAACCAAGAAGATGTGTGTGTATAGATAGATAGATAAGTAGAACCAAGGAGATTATATCTCTATCTATCTATCTATCTATCTCAGAGAGAAGGAGATTAGGGAGTTGGCAATTGTGGGGGTTGGCAAGTCTAAAATCGGTAGGGCAGGTTGGCAGGTGGGAAACTCAGGGTTTTTATGTCGCAGTCTTGAGGCAGAATTGCTGCTTCTGCAAACTCCAGTCTTTAAGCTGAAGGCCTTCCACTGGTTAGACAAGGCTCATTCACTTTTTTTTTTTTTTTTAAGATTTTTATTTATTTATTTGACAGAGCGAGATCATAAGTAGGCAGAGAGGCAGGCAGAGAGAGAGAGAGGAGGAAGCAGCTCCCTGGCAAGCAGAGAGCCTGATACGGAACTCGATCCCAGGCCCTGAGATCATGACCTGAGCTGAAGGCAGAGGCTTAACCCACTGAGCCACCCAGATGCCCGCTCATTCACTTTCTGAAGGACTTTCTCCTTTATTCAAAATCTACAGCTTGTAAATGTTAATCACATCTAAAATATGTCTTCATAGTAACAACTAAACTACTGTCTGAGCAAATACCTGGGCACCACAGCCTGGCCAGGTTCTCACATCAAAGTAACCATCACAGACACTTACAGTGGGAGGGGAGAGTGGGGAGTGTGCAAGGATGGAAAAAACCCAGGAAGATCAAAAGTGGAAGTTCTGTCACATCCATTGGTTTGGGCCAAGCTTGAGAGTCTCTAGATGGTTGAAGAAAGTAAGTCATAAGGTATGTCAGAAAGTGAGTCAGTGCCGGGAGCTCAGGCACAGGAGGGCATGAGCAGAGGCAGGCCTTGCCTGGCTTCTAAATCTTTCTTCTATTGGCAGTAGCACTTAGGTCCACCTAACAGATGCAGGTCCACTCTGACTTTTGGGCTCTGCCAAGGCCTTGAGTCAGGAAGGAAGTTTCTGAGGCACTCCAGGATATTACAGTGGGAGGGACTCAACTAGAAGTCACCACTGTTGCTTGACTGACCTGGTATTTGTGCCTCATAATGGATGAGGTGGATTCTCCTTTTCTCTGAGCTTATGCCCTCACCTTGCATGTAATTGGGTGTCTGATCCCTGCCTGGACAATCTGTTCCTCTATCAACTCTTCACACACTCACTTGCCAGTTATTGACTAGAACCTGCCTGTGCAACACAGCATGATGTCAGACAGACCTTCTCAATGCTCCCTTCCCTGCTGGCCTTGTCCCCTAAATGCTGTCTAGCCCTCTATTCTTAATTGAGTCATAGACGGAAACACTGGGGGGAGTCATTGCCCAGAATGTGCCAGTGTGCGTATGTGTGTGTGTGTGTGTGTGTGTGTGTACGCACTACTGTGAGTGGCTGAGCTGCTCAATGGGGGACCTAAACTTCTGCAAGATTAGCCATCCTACAAAGGTGGTCCCATGTTGTCAGAGGGCCTCGTCATCTCTGTGATTAACAGCAATACTTCGTGCAGACAAAGCTGGGTAAGACTAAGAAGGCCTCAACTGACTGATAGTTTAGTTTGGGAAGTTTCTATTGACCTTTCTTCAAGCTCACTGGTTCTTTTTTGGGGTGTGTCCAGTCTGCTAATGAGCCCATCAAAGCCATTCTTCATTTTTTTTTTTTTTTAAGATTTTGTTTATTTACTTGTCAGAGAGAGAGAGAGGGAGAACTAGCACAAACAGGGGGAGCTGCTGACAGAAAGAGAAGCAGGCTCTCCACTGAGCAAGGAGCCAGATGTGGGTCTCGATCCCAGGACCCTGGGATCATGACCTGAACCTAAGGCAGACACAACTGACTGAGCCACCCAGGCACCCCTCATTCTTCACTTCTGTCACAATGTTTGGTTTTTAGAAACTTCTAGAATTTCCTTTTGATTCTAAGAGTTTCCATCTCCCTGCTTAACCTACCCATGTGCTCTCATATGTTGTCCACTTTTACTATTAGCTCCATTAGCACATTAATCATAGTTATTTTAAATTCCCTGTCGAATCATTCCAAAGCCTGTGTTGTATCTGAGTCTGGTTCTGATGCTTGCTTTGTCTGTTGAGACCCGTTTTTGTCCTTGGCTGTTTAATATGCCTTATAATTTTTTTTTTTTTTTTAAAGCCAGATGATGTATGGGATAGCAGGACCTGAAGTAAATCAGCTTCTAGTGTGAGATTTCATGTTAATATGGCTGCAAGGTGCTCTTTTTAATGTTTGCTGAAAACGTGGGTGTCAGAAGCTCCAAATTCTTCTGGTGTCCTTGCTTTTATCTCCTTGCTGTCTTTGGGTTTCCTCCTTACAGTTTGATGCACCTCAGAGCTTTCAACTGTCATCCACTCTTTTTATACAGGAGTCTTGTTGCTGGTAAATGGTAGGAGAGGAAAAGTGTTCCACAATCTTATTATTACATCTTGGGCTCTTAGTGGTTTAGGTCCCCGGGTTGTGACCTTCCTGAGTGTTTCTTAGTCTTTTCCTTTTTCCTGCCCTTACATGAGACAGGAAGGCCAGAGGGGCATACAGTGGGACAAAGGAGAAAACCTTCCCCTGGGATGGGATAAGGCTCTGGTAAGTCTTTCCCTCTGGCAAGTAGGCTTTTGTTATGAGAACACTCTGGCCTGTTTCACAATTACCCTTTTCCTCCCTCTGCCAGAGTGCCAAGGATTCCTAGAAGTCAAACCCTTGGAATATGGGTGCCCCCCCACCACTTGACCCTCAGGTGTTTCTCACTGTCATGATAGTCCATATTCAGTCTGTAGGAATTCATAATATTTACTATTTAAGTGGCTTTATCAATTTACATTTCCAGTGGCTTCTGCTCCAGGTAAAGTCTGCTATAACTTCCTGGATTCGCCTGTCTATCCAGATTTGGGGCTGGCAGCTCACCCTGCAACCTCAGCTTTCCCATGGGTCCTAGAAAATCATTTATTTTCCATTGATTGATCTTTTTTTCTTGTTGTAGAAATGAGAGTTACAACTTTCAAACTCTTTACATGTTAGAGCTGAAACCAGAAGTCCTGCCTAAAGACTTTTGAAAAGCCTGCTCCATTTCTGTAAAGACAGAAGTCGTGAAGGGAAGCTAGACATTCTGAGGAAGGTTCCAAAAGAAAATACAAACATCCAAGAGCAAAGAGTCACTGCGCATTCAGACTGGTATGTCGTGACAGTCATGTTTAGTATCAATCCCCCCTTTAACACCTGGGGGTGCTTCCCTTCTGTATAACAAAAACTTCTTCCACTTCTCGGTTTTATTCTACCCTGTTCCAACTACCTGCTATGGAACCCATAACTTTCATGTTAACCTCCAAGGGATAATTGTGGATCTGACTCATCATCTGTTGCCTCTGCCTCTAGAGACCACGGTCAGTCTGCCAGGCTGGACTTCATTATCCCATCTGGTATGTTTTCCCTGGCCACACCCCTCACCACCCTTTACACCATAACAAGTACTTCTGATTCTGGGTATATTCACCTCCAAATCTGTTCTGTCCTGTTCCCAAGAGAAAACAGCAGGGGTTGGAAGAAAGCTGATGAGCAAAACAGAGTAGAACATAGAA